CTCTTTCCACCAACTCTTCCAATTGACATGTCATTATTGACTAAACATAAACCAACACTTTCAATAATAATCATAGCTTTTATAAATTATGCTACTCTAGGTTTATCAAACTTCTCATTATTCCTCCAAAGGTATCCTAAATTCCAGGACTCAGATTTTTTGTTCTACTTATTGAATTCATAATAGAAGTCTTCTGAAATACATGGAATAAGAAAGAAAATAAAGTAGCAGCTGACTTGCTACCTATAGGGGAAAGGGAGGGTCCGTTCTTCCCTCAGTACAGTCCATCTTATTGAAATTGGAATGAACAAAAACAAATAAGTTTTAGCTAACACGATAAAAAGAAAGACAGGTGTTCCAAGACTTTACCTCTTTTATTTATGCCAAATAGCTAGGAACAAACATGTACGAGATAGAAATAGTTCAACTTCCAGAGTAGACAGGCAGACATATTTTTACAGTTATTGGAAGAAAAAAAGTTTGAATTGCAGACCTTGCCTCTCAGCTCAGCGTAATAAATAGCTCCAACGCCACCTTCTCCAATCTTATTAGAAATGCTAAAGCCATTAGTCGACTCAGCAAGTTCTTTGTATGAGAACTCAACAGATTTATCCACAGCTATGCCCAAAAGGCCTGCCAAGGCACCATCAGAAAGGTCACTGCCTTAGTCCCCTCAGGCCTTACTCAGAAGAAATGTTTATATCAAACTTGTGAAGCGACTATCACCCCCTATTTAGATTTGTTTACTACAGTATATCAGGTAAATCTTGGGTGTCTAGGCTACTTGAATTAGACAATTTGTTAATAGGGAATAATAACAACCCAAGATGTCCATGCAGTGTTTTGCTTAGAGCAATAAAATTATCACACCCCAAAGGTAATCATAAAGGGACATTGATTTTAACACTTCCAATTCACTACTGATATTGATTCGTGTGAAAAAACAGTAGGCACACACTAGAGGAAGCAAGACACCAGAACCTTTGGAAGAATTTATGTTGCGAAAATGTTTTTGTTAATCTAGAGAATTACCCTGACCAGATGGATGTGATTGATCAGCAGATGCTGAGATGTGTGGTACAACCTTTTGTGCCTTCTTTCTATAAATTCCCACGTAAATGATGCCTATGAGTAATGTAACTCCAGCCAGTGATGCTACTGCCATTCCAGCAATAAATTTACCTGATGAACCTGATCATACACTCGGTACAGAATAATCAATAAGCTGGGATAGCATGAATAATTCCATCACTGACTAGGTTTGGGTGAAAGAAGAGGGCAGTCACCTTTGCTGCAAAGTCAGGGGAAACATGGATGACCATAATGTTAATAATATACAAGTATGAGTCATGATATAATGTTCAATCTATTACCACCTCAAGTCTGAAAAAGATACCTGGTTGGCATAGGTGGATATTTCCCAAGTTTATCTGCATAAAACAAGGAACCATGGCCAGAATATTTTCCACCAATTAAAAAAAGTATGACAACAGAAGTAAACATTTTACCAAACCCCAAATATCAGGTATATAACTTAAGCTATGTCAGGTCAAAATCCACAATGCAAAGTTGCGACAATCGACCTCAGAATACTACTTCCTTTCAGCAAATGCAGGGAGATCAGAAAATCAATCAATATCTCATCAGTTGACAATAGTGAGGACATTTGAAGCATCAGAGGTTCAAAATGACTTCCCTTCTGCCATTAGGGAAAACAAGTTCCATAAGTGACATTCCACGCTGATTATCTCATACCTACACCCATCCCCACCCCACCTCAACCCTTACGCACCCATCTCGACCCTCTTAACCCCACACCAAACCTCGCTGGCCTCCACTCCTATCCACCCCACCCCTTCAGCCCTACCCCCTCACCACGCCCCCACCAGAAAATAAGTAAGAAAATCACTACTTCATACCAAACACACCTTATATGTCACTACACGAGCTTTAGAGAATCTAATTAGTTTTCCAGAACCCTTAATTCATATTAAAAACAAATTTTTGGAGCAAAAATGTGCCGAAACTGAGTGGAACAAATATAGATGATCCAAATAGTCGACTCCAAGATAGCAACATAAATATCTTCTTTGGTGTTGTTTTTATCATGTTTGAACTCACCTCTGCCTGGAATGTAGAGCAGCCCAGTGCCAGCACTGAAATTCACCGCTGGATTGTACATTTGGATCAATTCAGAGCTTGTATCGGTAGCCAACGCGATCGACTCCAGACTTTCCCCTGGCCTCATTGGATATGTGATGAACAACCCATAATCCTCAGATACATCTTTGTTCCCGCACGAGCAATTCACTATCACGTTCAACGTTACATTATTATCCGGGATATTATTATACGGATAACTGTTAACCCTCATCAACCACTCCTCAGTTACCAAATCGGAATACTCCGCCGCTACGCTACCATAAGTATCCCCAGAGCGGAGATTGTAGGGAAAAACATGTCCCAAGTAGTCGCCATTATTAAGGCAGTCACAACGGAAGGGTATTTTAATCTTAATTATGATCTCGGCTTCAGCCTGAGTAAGCGGAATTACGAAACTAGGGTTGTAGCTAAGAATTTCAGGGACAGATACGTTGGGGAATAACCGGCGGGATACGTCGGACACAAATTCGTCATAATAACCACGATGAAGAGAGTATGAAGCTAAAGCTAAGGCACAGCCCTCTGTGCACCTGGAATCAGCTACTACTGCATAATAATAATGAACTGAAAAAAAGTAGTAAATCACAAATAGGATTATCGTTATCCTTTGGAAAAGATACATTCCTGGAAAATAACACTAGTCGATCAGTCCATAATTATTAGGCTAAATAAAAGGAGGAAGAACGACCAACGATAGGAAGTTTACAGGAAAGTGGACATTGCTTCCACGGTTGAAACTTGAAAGTCAAACAGTGACAAACGGCAAATTCTAGCGCCAAGAATTAAACAATTCTATAATTAGTGCAGAATCAGTCTACTCTTAACAATAACACATTGCAGTCAGACCTGTGATATATGTAACAACATAGCTGTTGAAAACACTTCACTATAAAAGTTAAAACTTTTCCGGAACCAATTTTCATGATATGTTATAATATATGTTCTCTATAACAACAATTCGCAAGACTGTTATAGAGAGGGTTGACTGTATTTAAACATGTCGAAAGTTCATAATATTGAAACCCTTGTACATAATTAGACAGTATTGCTGGATGTTAAATTGAGAAAAAAAAAAGAATCTACCTTTGAAGTTTCTATATTGATGAATTTAAAAGCATTTGAAGTGAAGATATGTGACATTTTCTAACAGATATGCTGTTTTAGCATATGCATTGACTTTCCTTAAAAGCCAGTAGCTATCTTATATGCATCGACTTTCCTTAAAAGCCAGTAGCTGAACCTATGCATTAATTTATCTTTGTCTATGTGAAAATCTACGATGAGGCGTTGCTTACATCATTTTCGCCAAAAACGTGTTTGACAAATGACAGACACGCCTTAGAAAATGTACAAGAGATAACCATGAGACTTAGAAATGAAAGCAAACGTGTCAGCAGAACATATTAATTTTACTTCAAATAATAAATAAACATGGTCTAGTTATTAATTTTACTTCAAATAATAAATAAACAAGGTGATGGGGGTGCTCCATATTGTAACGACCTCAAATTCACACGCCGCGATGACACCTAATCCTACCCGCTAGGTACAGAGGCGAATCTAGTATTTTTATAACATGGGTGCACCACTAGAAACAACAATATCCTCTACTTGCGACAAGGTGGGTCTGTCATTTGTCAAACACGGTAATAGGGGCCACACCCACCTTGTCGTAAATAACCTCATTTCTAATCCTATGATATCTAACATGGTGTGCCCGCACATCCATCTCAATATCCTCATCTCTGCTACCTTCATCTTCTGGACATGAGCGATATTGACTAGCCAACACTCAGTCCTATACAACATCGTTGGTCTGATTACCACTCTATAGAACTTATCCTTAAGTCTCGGTGGCACTTTCTTGTCACACAAAATACCGGAAATGAGTCTCCATTTCATCTATCCCGCCCCAATACGATGTGTGACATCTTCATCAATCTCCCCATCCCTCTGAATAATAGACCCAAGGTACTTAAAACTCCCTCTCCTAGGATGACCTGATAGTCCAGCCTCACCTCCTCTTCCCCTCCTTGAAACGTGCCACTGAACTTACACTCCAAGTATTCTGTCTTGTTCTCGCTCAACTTGAAAACTTTAAATTCCAGGGTCTACCTCCATACCTCTAACTGCGCGTTCACCCCGTCTCACGTCTCATCAATCAATACAATATCATCTACAAATAGCATACACTACGACACCTCTCCTTGGAAGTGGCGTGTCAATACGTCCATCACTAGAGTAAACAAAAATAGGCTAAGTGCCGATCCCTGATACAACCCGATCATAATCGGAAAATGGTCTGAGTCCCCACCCACCGTCCTCACTCGGGTCTTTACTCCATCATACACGTCCTTAATCAACCTAACGTAGGCAACAGGTACACTTCTAGCCTCCAAACATCTCCACAAAACCTTCCTCGGAACTTTATCGTACGTCTTTTTTAAGTCGACGAACATCATATGCAAGTCCTTATTTCTCTCCCTATACTGCTCCATCAATCTCTTAACAAGGTGGATGACTTTTGTAGTCGAACACCCCGGCATAAACCCAAACTGGTTCTTGAAAATAAAAACACTCCTTCTCACCCTTAGCTCTACCACTCTCTCCCAGACTTTCATAGTATTGCTAAGCAGCTTGATACCCCGATAGTTATTGCAATTTTGGATATCACCCTTGTTCTTGTATAAAGGAACCATCGTGCTCCACCTTCACTCTTCGAGCATCTTCTTAGTTCTAAAAATGACACTAAATAACCTAGTGAGTTGCTCCAAGCCTGCCTTGCCCGCACTCTTCCAAAACTCCATCGGGATTTCATCTGGCCCGTTCAATTTGCCTCTGCTCATCTTACGCATAGCCTCCTCAACTTCATCAACTCTAATCCGCCTACAATACCCAAAGTCACAGCGACTCCCGAAGAGTTCCAAATAACCCAATACAATGCTCATGTCCCCCTCCTTGTTCAAGAGACTATGGAAGTAGGTCTGTTATCTCCAATAGATAAGCCCCTCATCCTACAAAACTCTACCTTCTTCTTCCTTGATGTACTTCACTTGGTACAAGCCACGCGCCTTGGCTAACTTGAACAACCTTTTATCCCCACCCCGACCCTCGAGTTCCTCATACAAACCACTAAAAGTTGTAGTCTTGGCCGCCGTAACTTCTAGTTTTGCCTCTTTCTTAGCCAACTTATAAAGCTCCCTATTCGCCCTCTTCTCCTCAACGTCTACACTTTTCACTAGCTTCAGATACGCTGTTTTCTTGGTTTTCACTTTTCCTTGCACCTCTCCATTCCACCACCAGTCTCTTTTGTGACTACCAGAGTAACCCTTTGAGACCCCTAATACCTCTATCGCGACTTCTCTAATGCACTGCGCAGTCGTGGTCCACATAGCTCTTGCATCCCCACTACTCCTCAAAGCCCCCATAGTCACCAGCTTGACCCCCAACTCCTGCGCTTTAGCTTCCGTCAAGGCTCCCCACTTTATCCTATGTTGTCTTTACATCGCCCTCTTCCTCCTCTTCCTCATGATCTCAAGGTCTATGACTAAGAGCCTATAAAGGGTCGAGAGGTTCTCACTCGGGATAACCTTGCAATCCATGCAAAGACCTCTATCAGACTCATTGCAGAGTAAATAATCAATCTGAGTCTCGGCCACCGAACTCTGGAAGGTGACCAAGTGCTCCATCTTCTTCGAAAAACTCGAGTTTGCTATCACCAAATCAAATGCTCTAGCAAAGTCCAACAGAGACGTTCCTCCTCCGTTTCTATATCCAAAACCAAAGCTACCATGCATATCATTATACCACCAGACGTCGCTCCATTGTGGCCGTTGAAATATCCTCCTATGAAAAGCTTCTCGGTATATAAGATACCACGCACCATCTCATCCAAATTCTCCCAGAAACGCCTCTTGACTTCCTCATTCAAGCCTGCTTGGGGTGTGTACGCACTGATTATGTTCAAAGTAAAACCTTCAACAACTAGCTTAATAGTCATCAGCCTGTCATTCCCTCTCCTAACCTCCATCACTAGTTCACGGAGGTCCTTATCAACCAAGATACCTACCCTATTCCTGCCCCCACTTTCCTAGAATACCAAAGTTTGAAACTGCCCACATCCCGCGCCTTATCTCCTACCCACCTAGTCTTTTGTGCACAAGCTATATTAATCTTCCTTTTCTCAAGAATCTTCACTAACTCTATAGATTTTCCAATCAAAGTTCCTATCTTCCAAGACGCCACTCTCAGCTACTAGTTCCCTTAGCCCTCTTACCCCCTTACCCCCTCCCCCGCGCTGATACCCCCGAGGACAAGACCTTACCTACCATCATTCACCAAAGCCACTATAATCTATGAGTCACTACGCAAGCACTATCCCGAAAACAAGCGACAAAAATAAAATGAATTACCAAAATATAATCTGCCACTAAAGGTCGCAAAACATGTGAAGAAATAAAATAAAGGAACTAATGAGAACTATAATCTACAACTAAAGGTCAAAAAACAGGTGAGAAAATACAGTACAAGAGCTAAAGGGGGCTATAATCTACAATTAAAAATCACAAAGAAAATGTGCATAACTATAATGCAAAGCTATCACTAATGCAATTAATTTAACAATGCTAGGGCAAATACTAACTAAAGATTCAAGAACAAAATAGGGGCAGTGAGATACAATTACCCTAAAATATCAAGGCAAGAGAGGAACAATAGAATATAGATTGCAGCCCTTGAAATTAACGGAAATCTGGCCGTGATAGATTGCGACGAGTTGGAGGAACAATGTCGTTGTTTGAAATTGGTGGACCTAAAATCAGTCGGATTTTTTTGGATATGTATTAGGTTTCGATTTGTTTAACCACTCAACCCAAATGTTCCATATATACTCTTTGAAAATCTTCCATACACCTCGTCGGAAAGGTCACCGAAAAATCGATAAATCTCTAGAAGAAATAACAAACTTTGCCGGAAAATTAATATTGTAATTCCAAGAACCCTGATTTGATTCTCAAGAAACACAAAAGTAAAAGAGAAATTAAACTGAAATGCAGATGCAGAGAGAGAAGAAAAATTCAATTTATTATCTGCTATAAGATCTTTATTTGACTGCTGTTGGAATACAATTAGTTCTTGGGCTGCAAAGACGATGGAATAAGGGAACTGCAAAGACAATGGGCACCCGGGGGTGGGGTAGACGGAAAAGAACCCTCGTCCCTAGTCCTCTAGGTAAATAACTCAACATTAAACTAAGTACACCATTTAGCCTCTTTGGAGCATGGGTGCCAGCAGATAATACTAGACTAATTCTAAAAAATATGTACATAAAATACCTAGTTTGACGGAAAGACCGTGGGTTCTTGTGCTCCATATTTTTGCCTATAAATCCACCCCTGGCTAGGTAAGCCAACAATCACATAATATCAATGAAATGGAATAACATGGTTTAATAACTCAACAGCGGAAGAATATCATAAAAATATCGGAGAATAAAGCAAAAATGCTACTACAACTAACCTCAAAATATGGTGTCAATGAGTACACGCACTATGAAATAACAAGGTACAAGCAAAATACTCCAATTAAACTGTATAAATATAAGAACAGTAAAGATAAAAGTAACAGGAAGAGAACTTCAAGGACTGCAAACAATATGACAGCTACATCGTAGTCTCCCAAAGCTGGCACAAATCAAGCCTGAAAATCACCTCGACCAGATGTACCTGGATCTGCACATGAAATGAAGACTGTAGTATGAGTCCAATAGATCCAATGTACTCAATAAGTCATAACACTAATCTTGGGCTGAAAGCAGTGACGAGCTCAGAACAACAATCGAATGCCAATACCAAAAACCAATAACAGTTCAGAATATAAAGGATAAACCGTAGAAATATTAGCATGAGAAAAGTACATGTCTATGCGTACATGTCAGGTATACATGTCAATCAAAAGTATCACAATGGATCCATCAAGAATATTTACACATAGCACTGTACGAGCGCCTGACATAACTGCTCATCATTAAGCACATATGTGGAATATTATGCTTGCGCCCACTGCTGGCATGTCAGACTCCGGAGGGGCGGATCCTGGCCAAGTGCTAATTATAATTATTTAGCCCAATAATGAGGCTCGGTACACGCATCGCCCCAAAACAATAACACTCAGCCCAATATGGGCATGGCGTACGCGTCACCTCAAAATCAGTATCAAACCGGCTCTAAGGCCCAAACTCAGTCATTTACCATTCAAGTCTCAGAGAAACACATCTCAAAAACTCAGTTTAATAGTTTTACCCTTAAGAGGTATCAACAACATGTGAGGAATCAAATAAGAAATACGGAGATAGAGATATCATACACGGATATAGTATCATGATTGAGAACATGTGTCCAAATAAGGTATATAACTCAGAAACAACAAGAATAGCCCTATCAAGTCTCAAACAGTTAGCACATAACCTAGACATGATGTCTAGCATGATTCACAATTCAAATAATCAAACAAGTAAAGGGAACACGGGGGTAACATGATACGATGGCAAACAAATCTAGTAATAGCCTAAAGGCCTCCCCAATCATGAACACACCAAGGCACGCACACACGCCCGTCACCTAGCGTGTATGCACCTTAATATCTTTCATACAATGTAGTTCTCAAGGTTAAATACTCTCAAATCCAAGTTTAGATGTGTTACTTACCTCAAAGCGCACAAATCATAACTCCAACAAGCCCTTCACATGCATATCGACCTTCAAACGACTCGAATCTAGTCACAAATAACTCAATATCAACAAATAATACCGTAGGAAACAACTTCAAACAATAAAGTTTCGATCTTTATCAAAATCAAAAAGTCAACCCAAAAGTCAACCACGGGGCCGCACCTCGGAACCCGAAAAATTTACAAATTTCGGACACCCATTCAATTACGAGTCCAACCATACCAAAATAATTCAATTCCCACCTAAAATCTACTTTCAACCATTTTTCATTTTAAAAAACGTTTCCACAAAATCCCCCATTTTTTCACTTTAATTCACTAATTAAAGGCTAAAAATGAAAATGAAATCATGAAATAATAAAAATTCAAGTAAAAAATACTTATTCCGATCCAAGACGTGAAAATCCCTTCCAAAATCACCCAAAACCGAGCTCTACAACTCAAAATATGAAATAATAACACTAACTCTCAATTTTAAATCTGCTGCCCAGGTATTATGAATCGCGATCGCGGGACCAACCTCGCGATCGCAAAGAACAAATGATCACTACCCTCAAAATACATTACGCGAATGCGAAGCCACAACCGCGAACACGATGGTTACCAGACCTAACTCTTCACGAACGTGTGCACAATACCGTATTCGCGTAGGCTTGAAACCTGACGCTCCACCTGACTGCTCTGCGATGCCCGAGACCTCAAAGCTCTGCGAACGTGTGCACAGTATCACGAACATTATTAATGAATTCCAGCCAATAATAACTCTTCACGATCTCGCCCCATTCTTCGCGATCGCGAAAGACGAAACCAGAAACAGAAAAATCAGCAGTCCAACAAAGTCCAAAATAAAGTGGAACTTGATCCGAATCACACCTGAGGCCCCCGGGACCCCGTCCGAACATTCCAACAAGTCCTAAAATACAATACGAACTTAGTCGAAGGCTCAAATCACATCAAACAACATCGAAATCATGAATCGCATCCCAATTCAAGCCTAATGAATTTCCAACTTCTAAAACTAATTTCAAATCATACCAAACCAACTCCGATTGACCTTAAATTTTGCACACAAGTCATAAATGACACAACAGACCTACTCCAATTCCCGAAACTGCAATCCGAACCCGATATCAACAAAATCAACTCTCGATCAAACCTCTCAATATTCCAAACCTTTAACTTTCCAACTTTCGCCAATTCAAGCCAAAACGACCGACAAACCTCCAAATCAACATCCGAGCATACTCCTAAGTCAAAAATCACCATATGAAGCAATCAGATCCATCAAAACTCCATTTCGGAGTCGTCTACTCAAAATACAAACTCCGGTCAACTCTTCCATCTCAAGCCTCTAACCTTGGTACTAATAGCCTGTTTGGTGAAGCTTATTTTCTGGTCAAAATGCTTTTTTTAGTCAAAAGTACCAAAATTAAGGTGTTTGACCAAACTTTTTGAAGGGAAAAAGTATTTTTTGAGTAGAAATAGAAGTAGTTTTGGAGAATTAGAAAAAAGTAGTTTCTTTCCAAAAGAATCTTTTTAAAAAACACTTTCCAGGAAAATACACTTAGAAACACTTTTTAAAAGTTTGGTCAAACACTTATTACTGCTTGAAAGTGTTTTTCAAATTAATTAACCAAATACAAACTACTTCTGATCAAAAGTACTTTTTTGAAAAGCGCTTTTCAAAATAAGCAGATTTTAGAAACTTGGCCAAATAGGCTATAAGTATCCCAATTTACTATGAAACCTCTTCGGAATCAATCCAACCACCTCGGCATATCACATAACCATAATTTAGTATAGAAAAAGTGATAAATGGGGAACGAGGATACAGTACACATACGTACGAACCCAAGAAACAGAGATTAGCAACTTTCTGGACTGAATTAAACGAGTCTTAGGTTTTCCATTCGTTATAATTTAAGTATGGTCTGCATATTCCCAAATCCGAATAGGTTTTGCTTATAAGTGATAACATCAAATATAATGATTAAATATTTTAGGTAATTTCATAAAAGCTGTTTCACTAAACATAGAATTAAAATTTAATTCATTTTTCCATTACAAGGAAGGCCATATAGTTTTACAGGCGATTAATGGACCGACATCTCGCTTCGGAAAGCTCTGGGCCTAAACTACATAAACCAACCTATGACCTAGGCCCAAAGAATTTGGTCCATAGGCTTATTTCCGATCAGATTTTTTTTCTAACTATACCATATATGAAACTTTATTACCTTAAATGTGCATAGTTTGTTAATTACCCGCCCAGTCCACACTTTAACTACAATTTATATACCATT